GTTATCATGGAAGAGGGTGGCCAAAAAATATTCAACAACACGCAAAATTTTCGTTAATCCGCATTGTGGACACGAATTTTGAGTGTCCAATACGCATGCGTTAGCAGAACATGTTGCGTTGACCTGCCCAAACTAGAAAAATTCACGCTTTGTGGACACGAACAAAGGAGATGTTCGCTCTTCTTGCGAATAAAGTTTGACCATCGTCAAACTTTATCTAACAAGTGCCAACACGTCGCAACAACTCGCAACAGGGTGGCCATACGAGAAAATGTTGGGTGACCCAGCAATGTTGCGTCTTGTTGCGAGGCGCAACATTTCTCGTTTTGCCGGGGCTTAATACATCAAACCCAAATTATTTCAAGAGGAGTTTCTATATTCGAAATTGTATAATACATTGCTGTGGTAAAAGCACTCGTCTCTCAACGGTGTGGCTCAACCTGACTTCACTTGTGGGTTTAAACAGTTTGTTTGGGTCCCTCCTCAAAATCCAAAATTTCAAACTCCAATTCGACACAGACAAGGTTTTTTTGCAACATCATCGTAATGAAATCGCATTTCAAATATTTGTTTTCCAATGAAAAAGTGTCATTAAATCCAAAGGCATTCCGGGGGCTAGTACTGAATTTCTGTTTTTTGCATGCTTTGTTGTTGTTATTATTGTTGTTTTTTTCCTTTTCTTCTCAGTGTTGAAACGTGACATCCGAAAATAACTGTGCAGTAGGCTGGGTACATACATTTTCTTCTTTTTTTACGACGACGAAAATGTTTGATATCTACGTTGTTAGTCATATTCTAGGTTGTAAATTAAAAGTACGATTATGTAGTGTAGGAACATTGTGCTTACCATTGCTAACTTATTATATTAATAACACGAAAAGAGATAAGAAATATAGCGCAAATAGCAGTCCTCATGATACCTCGTAGATTCCAACTTGAGGTTGGTATGGTGGACACTGTTCGCTGTTGTTGAAATTGAAATTTTATAGAGTGTTTAGGGAACACAGCAGACGCTGGGAAGTTTTAATTTTTTTGTGACAAGACTTCCTAGAACTAATTTTGTGAACCACGTGCTTCAGTTTGCTAAAAAAGGAGCTGCAACACACATACACAACCACACAACAACAACGACAACAAAAAACAAAAAACAAAAAACAAAAAAACAAAAAACAAACACCGAAAAACCCGATTCATCCCACTGGTTCTGTTGTTACAACAAGTTTCAATATCATCGCCATCGTCTAATAGAACTCTTCTCCGAACATTATTCAGTCACCATTACTGTAACCTACGTAGCTACAATTTGATGAAATATTTCCCAAGCTGAAAACCTTCTTAATTTGGGTAAAGCAGGCNTATATATTTGAACTGCGGTATTAGATACGTATGATGCACGATCCTCGCAGTAGAGAGCGCTATTTATGCAATAGCGAAAATCAGACCTGAAAAAAATCAGGCCTGTACGGGATTCGAACCACTGACCTCTGCGATACTAGTGCAGCGCTCTACCAATTGAGCTAACAAGCCAATTGGGAGCAGGCCGTTAAGTTGATTCGTAATAAACCCGTGATGATAAATCAGATGCAATGTATATATGAAGTTCATATATTTTGAATAAATAGCGCTCTCTACTGCGAGAATCAAACATTATACGTATCTAATACCGCAGTTCAATATATATGAACTTCATATATACATTGTATCCAAAGTTATCTTTGTTAATCGGCCATCTTAAAAACCGCGTGTGGAGTCACTGAAGCTATCTCCTCATCAACAATATCCCTCCAATATTGTTAAATGGTGGCAGTGGTAACTAGTTAACGTTCAACAGTGACTACTGCTGTCGTCGTTGTCTCATCGAACCCTCAAGAACCTCGGTCTCTTTCGAACATTGTTTACTGCCTCACTCAAGCATTGTCACGATTTCTCATCGTATACTCTCTGGAAACTGCCGATACTATTCCCACCTGTGTGAAACTCCCTGCAGTTCGTACACCTCCGTCTCCTAGTCTGGAACGAAATGCTTAACTCCGAAGCCGCTGCTGCTCCTGTCGCTCAAGCTCCAGAAAATCCCGGTTTTCGGCGACCGAAAATCGCCCCGCTAAAATCACTCGAAGTTGACGGCGATCGAGCCGATAACTGAAAATTGTGGAAACAACGATGGTTAAACTACTGTCTCCTTGCCGGTTTAAATGACCAAAGTGAAGATTACAAGTGTGCCATGTTACTGCACTGCATTAGCATTGAAGCCATACGACTTTTCAACAGAATGAAATTCGGTGAAGATGAAGATCGCAACAAGATGGCTGGCATTCTTATGAAATATGATCAGCACTTTCTCGGTCAAAAACAATAATTCTTCGAGCACTTCCAATTCAATTGCCCAAATCAAGAATCTGGTATCTCAGATGACAAGACTCGTGAGGAACTCCTCTCAACACACGATCTTAAACTGAGCAAAACCATCGAGATTTGTCGTGCAAAAGAGGCCACCTCTCTTCACATGAAAGCTCTCAGAAGTGAAGAGATTAATTAGGTGATCTATAAATTTAAGAAGAAAAAGCCTGGTGACGGCAAACACAAACCTAAAGGAAAATCTGGAGATCATGGAAAAGGAAAGACAAAAGCCAATTCCGGTAAAGGAAAATCTGGAGAAACTAATGATCCGCGCGCTACTAAAAGAAAGTGTATTTTCTGCACCCAAGTTCACCTCATGAGGAAGGAACTATGTCCCGCGTGGGGAAAGACCTGCATGGCCTGTGGTGGCAAAAGCCACTTTGAAATGTCATCTAAGTGTAAGCACCACAGCGTCCACTCTGTTGGTGAGGACTACTCTACCGACTCCTCTGAAAGCAGCAGTGAAACCATTAGTGGATATTCGACTGATCAGGATCAAATCGTCAACGCCGTCCAACCTGGCAACCAACTCATTTTCTGTGAGATGGAAGTTAACAAAAAGCCGGTGAGACTACAAATTGACTGTGGCTCTACTGTATGTATTCTGCCCAAGCGCTACGTTGAAAACGCCCAAATTCGCCCTGAAAAGATAAACCTCCTGATGTGGAACAAAACCTCTTTGCAAGCCCTTGGCAAATGAAAAATAAAAGTTGTGAATCCGACCACAAAGCAAAGCTTCAAAGTGGACTTTGTCATCGTTGACAAGGAACTCACCCCTTTACTAAGTGGAAAAGGGGCACAGAAAATGAATCTCATCACAGTGCACTACGACAAGTTCAAGGTCGTAAATGCAGTTTCGTCACCTGAACGTGACTATGTCCAACTCTTTCCTGACACCTTCAAGGAAACACCTGACACACTCCCTGGCAAGAAGGTACACCTCACAGTTGCTGAGGGTGCCTCCCCGGTGATTCCAAGTGCGCGCACCCTGCCTGAGTCACGTAAAGATGTAGTCAAAGCCGAACTCCAGCGCCTTGTGGACACCGCTATGATTGTGCCTGTGGACGAACCCACCGACTGGGTGAGTCAAATGTCTGTCGCTGAGAAAAAGTCCGGTGTGAGAATCTGCATAGGCCCCCGCCCTCTCAACAAAGCCTTCAAACGAGAACATTATAAGGTACCAATCTTAGAGGACATCCATCCAGAGCTATCTCAAGCGTGCAAGTTCTCTGTCTGCGGCCTAAAAGCAGGCTATCTGCACTGCCAACTCTTTCTGCTCTGCCTGACTCTCTTCGAGTCTGCTGACGACATTTGCAACTCCATTTGGACGCTATCGCTGGTGCCGTCTCCCCTTCGGCCTCACGGTTAGCAGCGTGATCTTCCAGAAAAGGCTCCACCAGGCACTGGAGGGTCTCCAGGGTGTCCGCTGCATTGCCAACGATGTACTCATCTGGGGCCGCACAGATGATGAACATGATGAGCGGGTACATTTGTTCCTACAACGCTGCTGTGAGATCGGAATTGCTCTCAACAAAGACAAGTGCCGTTTTGGTTTACAGGAAATTCCGTTTATGGGCCACGTCGTAAGCAGCAATAGTCTTAACCCTGACCCCACCAAGATTGAAGCAATAGTCAAGATGAAGCCGCCTACAGACAAGGCGGGTGTTGAACGACTGAGAGGGACTGTCAACTACCTCGCAAGATTCGTCCCTAAACTCTCTGATGTCATGCGTGCCATCAATGATCTGAACCACCCCGATGTTGAGTGGACCTGGGACTCTGTTTATGACAAAGCTTTTGAAGAAATCAAACGTCTCCTAACACAAGCTCCTGGGCTGGCTTACTTTGACTCAACTAAAGAACTCTCATTTCAGTGTGATGCCAGTGGGCAATGCCTAGGTGCAGCACTCTTACAAGAAGGAAGACCTTTAGCGTATGCCAGCAGAGCTCTTAGTGATACCGAAACAAGGTACACAACAATCGAGAAGGAGATGCTCGCCATTGTATTCGTTCTCGAGAAGTGGCACCAATACACCTATGGTCGTCATGTAACCGTCCACTCCGACTACAAACCATTAGAGAGCATCACGAAGAAACCCCTTGACAGAGCCCCCAAGCGCCTTCAAGGCATGTTGGTACGCGCTATGGCCTATAACATCGATGTGCGGTATCTGAGTGGCAAAGAAATGTTCGTGGCCGACAACCTGAGTCGGGCCCACCTTCCCCTGGCCTGTGACGACTCGCAAGAAGAATGTTAAATTATTAAATAAATGCTCTCACCTACCTTGGGATGTCTGATGAGAGAATCCAGGCAACGCGTCAAAACACCAACTGCGATCCTGCGCTAGAAAAGACTATACAGACCATTCTAAGAGGTTGGCCAAAAGACTAGACCCAACTATCACCCCTTGTCACACCATACTTCAGCATCCATGACGAACTGGCAGTCACTAATGGCCTCATCTTCTGGGGCGAGAGATTGGTTATACCAAAGAACATGAGGCCTCAGATAAAAAAAATATATATATATATATATCCACGCTGGACACCAAGGCGCCGACACATGCCTGCGACGAGCTCGGGAATATATATTTTGACTTGGAATGAGTAAAGAGATAAAAGAGTGGATACAAGTGTGTGAGGCGTGTAGAGATTTTAAACAGACACCATGCAAGGAACCTCTTATAAGCCACGACATTCCTGAAAGAGCCTGGGAGAAGATTGGCTGCGACCTGTTGTCATGTAATGGTAAAGATTACCTCATCACTGCTTGTTACAAGTCAAACTTCTGGGAGCTGGACCGCCTTACTGACACCAAGTCCACAACGGTCATCAAGAAGCTAAAAGCCCATCTTGCTCGATACGGGATTCCCAGACAGCTGGTCTCTGACAATGGACCTCAGTTTGTGTCAAGTAAATTTCACGCTTTCACCAAGAGCTGGGGTATTGAACACACCGCCACCTCACCTCACAACAGCAAAGCCAATGGCAAAGTTGAATCCGCCGTAAAGGTAGCCAAGCGCAGGCTAAGGAAAACCGCCAAATCAGGCGAAGACCAATACCTTTCCTTGCTCAACATCAGGAACTCCCCAACACAAGGCGTAGACAGCAGCCAAGCCCAGTGTCTCATGGGTAGGAGGACCAGGACCCTGCTGCCGACTACAAAATCCCTGCTGGAAGCAAGAAATCCCCTGAACCATCACGAGATGGAACAGCTTCAATTAAACCAGAAAAGACAAGCAAAGTACTATAATCGTACCGTACATGACCTGCCTACCTTGAAGGAAGGGGACACTGTCCGCATGAAACCTTTTGTCCTTGGACAACACACCTGGAAAAAAGCTGAAGTGACCCGCAGGACGGATGAAAGATCGTATGAAGTTCAGGCCTCCGGCACAACCTACAAACGCAACCGACAACACCTGGTGAAAACCTCACAGCCCTCCAAGCAAGAATACCTTGCCAAAGAACCTCATCCTATCCCAAGTGCTGACTGTAAGGTGACCAACCCAGGACAAGACACACAGCACAACGCCAGCCCACAGAATCAGGCAGAGGGAACAAGTGACACAACCACCATGCCCAACCCTTGTGAATCTGGAGCAGTGAAGCGTTCCCTCTCAGGCGGAGCCATTAACCCAACAGCAAGGCTGAGAGACTATGTGCTAACTTGAACGCTGTTGCGAGAGACAAACCAATACGGAACAAAGAGACTGTGACATTTTCTTTTCATATACTTCCCTTTATTGCCTACATTTGGTAATGGCTTTTTTCTTTCGTCACATTGTTGCTCAATTAGCTAGTTCATATTGTTACCCTAATCTCACTCACAAAAACACACACATAAAAAAAGGATGTTTTTAAGTGTATTACGTTACGCGTGACGCTTACGTCAGGACCTCGCTTTGGTGGAATAAAGTTATCTTTTGAAGGTGTAGTCTGATCGTCCGGGTGAGTGTAGTCCTGAGAAGGACTGTTGTCGGTGGTAGTGACTGACGTTTCGACAACCTGTGCGGAAGTCATCATCAGAGTCAAGTGAATGATTGTTGTCAGTAGAATGTTCTTATTCCAGTTCGTGTGAAATGATCGGTTGGTTTTGGACACCATGAAGGTCAAATATCAGTGTTTATAATCAGTGAGGTGCTCATATCCGGACTTTGAAACTATTCCAAAAGCATAAGTTCAGCACCATGACCTTTGATTCCTTTGCTTCGTGCTAAATTTTTCACTAGTTAAATGGAAAAAAAAAATGCGGCCCCTTAAAAGCAGAATAACCTAGTATAGCATATTAACAACAGAAACAACCGATTAACGGCGGTTTTTCGTTTGTTTTGTGTTGTCAATGTCGTTGCATAACACCTGAAAATAAATCCAGGTGGTATTACAACATCGAAAAAAAAAGCAAACAAACAAACAGACAAACAGCCAAAAAAAAAAAAAGAAAAAAAAAAAACTTCCGTCAGCGCTGTTCCAGAAAACACCTTATAAAATTTCGATTTCAACCTCACTGACAATTTTCGACCACATCTGCAGTGAATTGGAATCTACGGGTTATTATGAGGGCCATTGTTTCCACTTTTTTGCTTTTTGCCTTTGGTATTACTATTGCCACTGAAGACCAAGTCACTGATGGTAGGTACATTTCTCCCTGAGTATTCTATCGAACTTTGAATTTTTCGTAGTTAAATATAAAATGAAGGTCAGCAAACATGTACAGTGTGAGCGTATCTTCCTCGCGGGGATACCGTTCCGACTGTCTCAGTGCTTTCCTTAGCTTTGAATGCTTTGTATACACTTGGCAAGAGAAAAAACCTCACATTCTCGCTACTATTACGTGTAAAATCAGCGCAGAGTAAATTAGGTGATGATATTAAAATTATTCAAGAGCGAGAGAGATCATGGTTTGTCATATGATCGAGTTCTAAAAAAAAATTTAACTTGGTATTTTTTCCATATTTATGATCATGAAATGCAAACGCTCCATAATATATACCTAAGAACCCACCCTCTTTACAAATAAACTTATTTCTGGATTTCTTGTAATTGAAGTTTCTACTTGTTTGCTTGACGAATATAAACAGACTTATAAACGAGTGATTGGATAAAGTGCTCTATATAGTAACATCAATTAAAGTAAATTCAATAAGGGGCTCAGAGAACCAATCGCAATAAACGGGCGAGTAATTACAAAGCTTGTGCTGTCTCATCTACGCTTAATATGGTTTCATCCTTAGTTATTACAACGTAAACCTATTTAAGACCACATCGATTTAAATGGATACGAAACTTTAAAATAAAAGCTGCTTAGAGAAATTCTTTGAGTATCATAGCTTATCTATCGTCCCTGTAAAGTGCTTTAGACAAAAGATCGATATCAATGTAAGCGAGGGAACCAATAAACGGGCGAGGAACGCCTTCGCTGTTTCATCTACTTTTAAAATAGCTCCATTCTCCGTTATTTACGGTGGCCTACAAGGGGCATGCTGTAAATTAAAAAGTTGCTGCAGATTAAAAAACGTTGCTGCAACTATAATCAAGTTGCAGCAAATAAAATAAAGTTGCTGCAAATTTTCAAAACGAGTTGCTGCAACTTAAAAGAATGTTGCTGCAAATTAAAATATCAAAAGTATGCGCGCGCACTGAACGAAGGAAGAGTGGGTGTAAGGATCTTTATATTTATGAGCGGTTATTTACTACGAAAGTATCCCCTTCTATCTCCACTTTCCTGGCTTTAAACTGAGAGAACGTAATATCAGATGGACTGCTGCTCTGCCGAGAACACGAGGAACGAGCTCTACTGTCATCGACCGCATCTCTCCTCGAGTCCTGCCCCTGACTCAAATTAAGTTGCTGACCACATTGATGACAGAAATTTGCGGCTGAAGGGCATTCCCCACCGCAAGAACTGCAAAACCTTTTAGGAAATTTTTTCCAATAGTCACACAGGCCAAGAAAAAAAGAATAACAGCTTCTCGCTGTGGCCATGCTATATGCATATCATGAAGGAACAAATTTGACCCGCCCCCCAAAATATAATTTCTCCTGTTAATTTTTAGCTATTCTGTTTTAAAAAAAAAATAGTACCTGGTGCTTTGCTGTTCATATACAGTGAAAATTTAATAAACCTGCAGAGTATTGGTATGAGCTGGTCTACATCTTTGGGGAAGATTAATTAACCACAGACTGGCAGCCCGCCAGAAAGCTTGCCTTCTCATCTGCAGAGGCCCTTTCCATGGCTTTTGTCAGGCCTGGTTAAGTCAAGAATGTAGACAAATTTTCATACTCTTACAGCAGTATAGAGCTGTCGACATTCATGAATTGAAAGCAATTTTTAAAAGGAACGGTAAGACTTTATTCCAGCAGAATAAATTTGTTTGTGTAAAAATCTTTCAAAGCGGATTATGTGTCTTAGAGAATAAATAAATGGTAATAAAGAAAATCAAAAGAAATTTAACTCACGGGAAGTTTAATCGTTGCATGTTCTGGAGGTCTAGAAAACGTGAGGTGCTAACAAACGAAACGATCACGATCTAACAATACGCCCTTTGGCAACTTCTTGGAGAAGTGGCCAGCTGAAAAGTGTTTTCCATATTCTAGGAATGGCACACGGGAAATCCTCTTTCATGTCTAATCTACGTCGATGCTCCTTTCGGCTGGAGGTTTGAGCAAGTTTAGGGGTACGAATGCCATCCATTAGCTTTCGTAACTATTTCGTTTGGCCTCTGTAGCGATATTTCAGTATTCATTTTAAAGAATAATTGCTCAGTCCTGCAGAACACAACTCTACGGTGTCATTTCCGGCCTCAAAACGACGATTAGTCTCCCCAGAACTGTTAAAGTACAACAATCTCTGTCCATTTCTTGGTTTAAAAGCCTGCGCAAAAGTTTAGTGGATCATATGACGTCACAGACTGA